ATATATATATATATATATGAAACATAAAGAGAACTTCAAAAGAATACACTCCATCTTGAATTACCTTATCCATCAAAACTTACCCTAGCTCTAATTCAGGGAGTATATGAATTCATTTTTTTTCTGCCATTGATTAAAGATTACCAAAAATCAGGTACCAATGAGAAAGAGGAGATAGTTAAATATGAGAACTATAATCAAAAAATATGGCTAATAATTGAGAATTGGCCCTTCTACTGCATAATATGTCTATTAGTTGATAATATTTAAATATTCCTCAGTGCTGATAACAAAGCAAGCTGTGTTAACCATTTTACAGGAATAAAAACATTCACAAGAAGCATTTTAATGAAAAGTAAAAAATAAAACCGAATCAAATTTTTTAAAGTAGTCTTTTAGAATAGCATTATTTCTTACTATGTAACTATCTGTGTTTAAAGGACAGTTTAACTGATACTCAGGATGCCTCAGAAGAAATGCAAAAGACCAACAATGCTGCTTCAGTAAGTACAATTTTCGAAGTTTCTCTGTCAGTAATTTTACTTTATCCATATACATATTAAAATATAGATGATCACTGTTGCAGAGTAAACGAGAAATACTACGTAGATTAAATCAAAATCTTAAAGCTCAAGAGGATGAGAAAGGAAAGCAGCATTGCTCTGACGCCGAAGGTGGCAAGGAGAACAAAGAAAAGCCAGCTCCATCTGATCGCAAGAAGTGGGAAGCAGGAGGTCAGCTTGTGATTCCGCTGACTGAGTTAGTGCTGGATGCATCCTTCTCTGCAGCCGAAAGTGTGTATGGAAGTTTGATATCCTGTTTTGGTCTAGCACACATATAAACCACTCCAAAGAACAGCACTTAGAGAAATGGAGATGGGTTAGTGGGAGTACCTCCCCGCGGGTAATACAGGAAGAATGGAGGAAACTGTGCAACCATAAGAATAGCAAATATTTTTATTACAGAAGTATGGATTGTGAGACAGGAAGCTGTCGAGACATGTTTACACTGTATTACTTTGACCCTTTACACCAAATCAGATTAATCTCTTATTAGGAATGATTATTGATGAGAACCAGAGTAGTGAACTTTGATAAAATCTCTAAAAAGTCCTTTAGGCATTTATTTAGCAGGGGTATTGAGAAAATCTAAGTTAATGATTCATTCATTTAGCAAATAATTATTGTGCACCCACTATGTTCCACATATTGTTCTAGATACTGTAGATACAGTAATGAACAAAACAAAAACGTGTGCTCTTGTGGAGTTTACATTCTGAAAGGTCAAGTCTGACCATCAGCTAACTAAGATGAACTGTTTTTTGTAGAATTTCTTCTTGCACTGGAGAAAAGCCCAGAGACTTGACATGGTGGTTGTGGTTGTTTGGTGCCGTAGAGACCGTCCTGACTCACAGCGACCCTGTGCACAGCAGAACAAAACATGGCCCGGTCCTGTGCCATCCTAACGAAGACTTGATTGTTTATTTATTCAGCTCTTTATTGAGTATCTGTTACATGCCACATAGTCTTAAACAGTGGATGTACGATAAAAGTTAATGTATAGTCTCTCCCCTTAAGGAGCCTGGGGTCCAGTAGGAAGGGAGGGAAGTAAACAGGCAATTTTACTTCATAAGTAATATGCCAGAAAAAAGCATTGGCTACTGTGAGAATACATAAAACCAAACCCATTGCTGTTGAGAAGAATTCCAACTCAGAGCAACCCTATACATTAAAACAGACAAACAAACCCGTTGCCGTTGAGTTGATTCCAACTCATAGCGACCCTGTAGGACAGAATAGAACTGCCCCATAGGGTTTCCAAGGAGTGCCTGGTGGATTTGAACTGCTGACCTTTTGGTTAGCAGCCATAGCACTTAACCACTACGCTACCAGGGTTTCCACCCTGTACATAGGGAGGCATAAATAAGTCTTCTGAGAACCAAGGGAAACAATTTCTAGAAAAATTGATGTTCTGAAAAGTAAGAAATGGTTAGCTAAATGCAAAGCCAAGCAGAGAGTTTCTGGTAGAGAATGGCCTGGGTCCAGAGGTGAGAGAGCACAGAAGGCTCAGGGAGCTGCATGTCATTCAGCTTGGCTAAAATGCAGACATCAAGACAGAGAATGATGGTCAGAAAGCCTCGGAAGTGGTAAGAAGGCCAGATCACGAAGCTTCCTATACGTGGCTCTGCCAAACACTGTGGATGTATTCTGAGTGCAGAGGGGGGTCTTTAAACAGGGATCAACAAATGTTTTCTGTGAATGGCCAGATAGTAAATGTGTTCGTCTTCATGTCACGCAAAGGCAGCAGTAGATAATATATAAGTGCAGGAGCATAGCTGTGTTTCCAAAAAAGTTTTATATTTATAGCACTGAAATTTAAATTTCGTGTAATTTTACATTTTGTTTCTTTTTTCAGACTTTCTGTTTTTCCATAGCTGTCAAGAGTACTCATGATTGTTTCCTGGAGCGTTTTATAATAGCTGTTTAAAACCTTTGGCAGATAATTTCAGCATCTGTGTTATATCGACGTTGGCTATAGATTGTGTTCTCCCATGGAAGTTAAGATTTTCCTGGTTCTTATGCTGAGTAATTGTGAATTGTGTACTGGACATTTTGAATATTACCTTAGGAGACTCTGGGTCTTGTTTAAATCCTATGGAGAATGTTGGTATTTTTGGTTTAGCAGGCAGCTGACCAGTTAGAGTTAGACCACAGTTCCTACCCACTTTCTGTGGGCGGGGTTCCAATTGATCAGTCCCGTTTTCAAAGCCAGTCACTGCCATTGGCTCTATCTAGGATGCACAGGAGTAGTAGATAGCAACCCTGGTGGTGCAGTGGTTAAGAACTCAGCTGCTAAACAAAAGGTTGGCAGTTCTAATCCACCAGCCACTCCTTGGAAACCCTATTAGGCAGTTCTACTATGTCCTATACAGTCACCTTGAGTCAGGATCGACCCAATGGCCACAGGTTTTGGTATGTGCAATTCCAGTAACTAGTCTGGGACCTAGGTGGTGGTATATTTGTTAGATCAGTTCTCAAAGTCTTTGATACGCAGAGTAGGATCAGATCCATGCATGCACAGATGGAAGGGTGAAGCCAGGTAATCATAAATAACTTATCAGGTCACTTTCCTAAGTTCCTTTGTCTTCTCTAGCTCTCTAGTATTTTTATTCCTCTTTTTGGTTGTCTGGCCAGAAAAGCTGAGACTTTAGTTACCTCACTCTACTGCTCACTTGGCCAAGCAGTTGGAAGATAGGGGAGAATAGCAGTGGGGATTGGCCACAGCCTCTTGGTACCACATCCCCACCAAACAGAAGGGGAGGAAGCGTCCTCCGTCGTTTTGTCTCCTGTGGGTTCCTATTACCAAATGCTGCTCCCACCACCATGTTCGTTTTGTGGGGGCTGGGAAACAAGAGGAGGGAGAAAAGAAAGAAAAAAGTCTGGGGGGGTTTCCACAGTCTCTCTAACCATTAGGAGTTCCCTTTCCCACTAGTCGGGCTGGAACCCTACAAGACTTCTCCCGGAGTGCTCTCTCTGCAACCCTGGGTTTCTGGCGAACCCTCACGGTGGGGGGGGGGTACGAGAGGGGGAAAAGCGGTGGTGTCACGTTTTTTCTGCCTCAAGGACTCCGTTCACGTTTCTGGTAGTGAGAGCTATAAGTGATGAATTCTTTCAGCACTTCTAAGTCTGTAAACGTTTTTGTCCTGCCTTCCTTTTGCAGAGATTTTTTCTAAATACAGAATTCTAAGTTGTCATGTTTTTCTGTTAGTACTTTACAGATACTGCTCTACTGTTTTCTGGTTTGTGTTGCTTATTGACATCTCCTGTCATTCTTTTTATTCTTCTGTATGCAGTGTGTGTGTTTTTCCCTCTGATTGCCTTAAAGATCTTTCCTTTTAGCCTTGGTTTTAGTGAATTTGATTAGGGTGTGCCTTCGTGTAGTTTTCTTCACATTTCCTTTGCTTGGGTTTTGTTGAGCTTCTTGGATTTGTGGGTCTATAGTTTTCATCAAATTTGGAAAATTTTTGATTGTTATTATTATTTTTTTTTTTTTAATTTTCTGCCTTCCCTTTTAGGAGTTTGATATGGGTTTTGTTAATGGCCTCCTTATGTCTACTTATCCTGCTCAGTCTTTGCTCTAGCTTGTCGAACGTGGAATTCAGTTGTAATGACAGTTATAAATATCCTTATCTACTAATTTCATCATCTGTGTCATTTTTGGGTTGGTTTCAATTGGTTGATTTTTTTCCCCTCTTCTTTATTATTAGTTGTGTTCTTCTGCTTCTTTGCATGGTTGGTAATTTTAGTTTGGAGGCTAGACATCGTGAATTTTACCTTGTTGGGTGCTGTATACTTTTGTATTCGTATCAATATTCTCGAGCTCAGTTCTGGAACACAGTTTATTTACGGGGAATTCGTTCCATCCTTTTGGGTCTTGCTTTTAAGCATTGGTAGGTAGGACAGCTAATCTTCTGTCTTTAATGACTCCAAAACCTTCCTGAATACTCTACCTGATGCCTTGTAAATTATAAGATTTTCTTTTATGTCTGGTGGGAATAGCAACTATTTTTGGTCCTTTGTGAACTCTGTTATTCCCTCCACCCCTTTTGAGTGTTTTTTTTTTTTTTCTTTCTCTAAAAAAAAAAAAAAAACCATTGCTGTCAAGTCAACTCCAACTCCTAGCAACCCTATAGGACAGAGTAGAACTGCCCCATAGAATTTCCAGGGAGCACTTGGTAGATTTGAACTGCTGACCTTTTGGTTAGCAGCTGTAGCACTTAATCACTACACCACCAGGGTTTCCTTTCTTTCTGTAGACTACGGTAATTTCCTCACGTGCGTGTACTGATCCATACTCAGCTGAAGACTCAAGGGGGCACTCTACCGTTCTCCTGGAGTTTCTCTCTGTAGCTTTGTACTCTTCAGTACTCTGCCCTACAGACACTAGCTGGGGGCCTTCCTACACCGCCAGGTCCATCTGCTCCCTGGGTTTACCTCCCTGCCTCAAAGGGCTCTAAGCTCTTTTTTTTTTTTTTGGATATTCAGTTATTTCCATTTCATTTGTTAAAGAGACATTTTCCTCCATTGGATTGTTTTGGCATCTTTGTCAAACATCAAATGACTATGAAGTATGGATTTATTTCTGAGTTCTCTATTTAAACCATAATTTTTTAAATTAGTTCCCTATTGACAGTCATTTAGTCTGTTCAAAACTGAGTATTACCTGCCGAGTCACATATACTTACTTTCAGGAAACTGGTACATAAAAATTTTTATTAATGTGTATTATGTTACCATTGAAAGTCTACATAATTTATACCCCATAACATTTGATATTCTCTCTATTCCTGCTAGGTATCTATATGTTGCTTCAAGTGTTCTAAAGATATCGACATTTCAAACTTCCCTGATAATTTTCTATTTTTGGTTTGCTAAATTTTATTAAAATGTTTTAACCAAAATTATCATTGTCAAACAAAGAAATGTCAGTTGCCTACTTATAAGATAAATTAAGACATTTTCCTAGAAATACTTTTCTCTGCTTTTGAATCCTTACGCTTTTTATCTTAAGATTTATTTCCTATTCTTTTCAATTAAATTTATAAAAACATAATTTTAATTTTTTTCCTATTTTTATATTCTCCCAAATTAGGATTTAATTCATAAGTACTCTGAGAGACAATTACAGATTTATTTTTTTATTGCGAGTTATGATTGATTCCATTCTTGCCATCAATCATTCCCCGTCTCTCTTTTTTTTAAGCATCATCATTATATGCTTTTTGTGATAAAAACGTTTTTTTCCTCATGAAGCATTCATTTGGATAGAAAACCCAAAATCTGCCTTTCAATACTGTGTTATTATTATGTTCTATCATTAAAAAATATTGCTTTGTATCTTTTTCTTATAGAACACACAGTGGGAGAGGTTATTAAATTAGATCCTGGTGAATCTCCAAGAAAACTCTGGGGGAAGAGTCCTGTTGATTCTGTTCTAAAGGTACTTGGAGAAGCTGAACTACAACTTCAGACAGAACTATTTGAAAACACAACTAGTAGAAGTGGTAAGCAGAGACTAGTTATTTTTCTATACTAGCAGTCAATGTTATTAAAAATAGAAATTTTTAAAAAAACATTTCCAGTTTAAGTAAATTATTTGTAATAATCTTTTGTTATCAGAGTTTTCTACTTAGATGGAGAATGTTCGTATTTTCTTGTGAGTTATCCCTAATAGGTAGTCTTGAGTTTTGACCTCATATGACCTGGATGGAATCTAAAAATAAAAGGCAAAGAAAATGTGTATGAAGGGCATCTGAAAAGTAGAACAGTTAGGAAGATGTATTAGATGAAGAAAGATATAGGAGCAATCTAGTGAGATGTATGTACATGTTAATGTGGATTCAGGAATTAGATTGATTAAAGGATATCTGCAGTTGGTATGACAGACATTATCCTTGACTGGAGAGGGTGAGCTGTAGTGAAGCAGGAGAAGAACATTCAAGATCCATGAATCTTTTGTGTCTTGGTATTGCAGTTACCGCAGGAGAAAGATGTGGCAGTCTGCTTCCATAAAGATTTACAGCCTTGGAAACCCTCTGGGGCAGTTCTGCTGCATCCTGTCGGGTTGCTATGAGTCGGAATCAACTTGACAGCAATGGGTTTGGTTTTGGTTTGGTTATTGCCGCTATGCATACAGAAGATTGTCCATGTATAAAACAGATATCTTCAGACTCCACAGCTTATTCAAGGGTTGTCTTTTTAGAAGTTGTGCCTAGGCATGAGATATATATATGTCACTTTTGCGTGCTTTCTGTCCCTCTCTATCTCTCCTTAAAGCTTAGGGTGAAACTCATATACAAAGCCAGAGGAAAAATAGCCTAGGAGATGAGGCTCTTGTACGTGTTCTGTACTGGAATTAGCCAGATGCAAAAAGTAACCAGATGCTTATAATTAGCCAGCAGAGTGAACCTATATATATGTTACTGAACAGACAAAAGTAGGTTGCTATTTCCTTCTCAAGGGTAGATCTTCTAGCCATTAATCATTCTAGTATTTTCTTTAATATCAAAGGAAAAAAACCAGTTTGAGTTAAACATTCATATAATCAGTTGTTTGGAAAAAAGGACAAATGCACAAAGTGTGTATATTTGTAATTAATTTGTTCACACTCTTGCATCAGGAAATTGTGCCATTGTATGTCAAAAACTAATAAAAAACAAAATAATTAGTGACTTAATATTCTTGACACTCCATCTGAGCCTATTCTTAAAATGCCTCAGGCTTTGTTTTTTTATTGAGGACAAAAATGTCTCCAGGCTAAAATCATTTTCAAAAATTATAAAATAAATTTCAGATCATTTTATAGTTAAAGAAAAAAAGGTCCTACACGTGTTCATGCCCATTAGAACTATTATTTTGGAAATATCACACTCTCATTTCTCTTACGTAAAATTTTTATTGATTCAATATATGTAATTTGATGGACAATAATACTTAAGCAGTACGAAAGCAAGGCTTTTTCTTCTCCGGTAGTAATCTATCTACATAGAATTGGAGTTCAGAAGTAATATATTTCATGACTTGTCTTACTTTTTTTAAATTAAATTCACCAACCATTTATTAGCTGTAGACACTATTGTGTATTTGGTTGTAAGGCTACAAAGGGAAAGAAAACAATCATCCTTGCTCTCAGAGGATAGACAAAAATGAAAACAAATGATAATATTGTATGAAAAGGGCAAGGATAAAAATGTGTACAAGTTCAGAGTTAGGGCAGAGATGTTTAAGTAATTAAGTTTTTCTTGGCTAGTCAAGAAGGGCTTCCCAGAGTTAACATCAGTGCTCTTTTAAAAATTTTCCCGAACTATATTTACTTGGAGCCCTGGTAGTGCAGCGTGAAGAGCTCAACTGCTAACCAAAAGGTTGGCTATTTGAATCCACCAGCCGCTTCTTGGAAACCCTATGGGGCAGTTCTACTCTGTCCTGTAGGGTTGCTATGAGTCAGAATTGACTCAGCAGCAATGGGTTTTTAGATTTACTTTAGAAGAATATACTTTATACATGGATTTTAAGACAAAGAAGTCACAATTCTTACCATCAAGGAAATCACATGTGGCAAAGTCCATGTTAGAGGTGTCGTATCTGAAATGCTTTGGGGCCACAGATGAGGAGGCCTTACTCTGTGGAAAGCCACAGAGAGCTAGTGACTTGAGGCCAAAGATGGGAAAGATGTCTTTAGGTAGGTCTGGGACAGAAAGACATTTCAGGCAATGAGTATAGTATACGCAAAGACAAAGGTTTAGCTACTGTATTTGTGGGCCCAGCTTCATGTCACAGAAAGAGAACAGGCTTTGGTACAAATTCTAGCTCCACCACTTCTTCAGCAACCATGGACGAGGTCCTCTGACCGATATTTGGTTTCTCTGTCCATAGAGTGAAACACTATTGTCAAGGATTAGTTACCGTATTAAATAATTAAACATAAAGGACCTGCGATGTGTTTAGTTTTCTAATCCATTAGTCACTTAGTCACTTTGGTTGTCTGAAGCCCATTTTCTAATCAGTTCCTTAGTAACGGTTCATGTGAACAGTACTCTCAGAGTTTTTGCATGTTCGTAAGTTTGTCTTAAGACTTTATTTTTGAAGGTCAGTTTGGCTAAATATAAAATTCTTCGGAGAGTGCTGACACATTTCGGGGATTGCAGCTAATGTCACAGAACAATTTGTATATAAAATTTTTTAATTAGAAACTAATTTGCACTGTAAACTTTTACCTAAAATACAATAAAATTAAGAAGAAAGAAAGAGAAAAAAATTCTTGGCTTATATTTTCTTTACTTGAGCATCTTTAATATATAACTCTGTTGTCTTCTGGAATAAAGCATTATTTTTAGAATGTCTTATGACAATTATGTTTTCTTTCCCTTAAGAGTGACTTGATCTTTTTGCTTAAATACTCAAAGGATATTTTTCTTTTTCCTTAAAGTCCGATAGTTTTGTAAAAATATATCTCAGTGTTGTGTTTATTTTTCTATACACGGTATATTTTTTAATTCATTTTATTGTTGAGAATATACACAGCAAAACATACACTGCATTTCATTATAATACTTTACTTTGTCTTCTTGAGCCGCCCTTTGAAATCTTGTGTTCAGCTCTTTTACTTCATCGTTTCTTCCATTTGTGTTAGCTACTCAGCGTCTTTCAAGAGCAAGTTTCAGAGTCTCTTCTGACATCCATTTTCGTCTTTTTTTTCTTTCCTGTCTTTTTAATGACTTCTTACTTCTTCAGGTATGATGTCCTTGATGTTATTCTACAACTTGTCTGGTCTTCGGGCATTAGTGTTCGGAGCATTCAATCTGTTCTTGAGATGGTATCTAAATTCAGGCAGGATATACTCAAGATTGTACTTTGGCTCTCATGAACTTGTTTTAATTTTCTTCAGCTTCAGCTTGAACTTGCATATGAGCAATTGATGGTCTGTTCTGCAGTCAGCCTCAGCCTTGTTCTGACTGATGATGCTGAGCTTTTCCGTCATCTGTTACTTGTAATCTGTTCTCCTGTGCTGCGATTTAAAAAATGTCCTCAAGGAGAAATCTGAGATGATTGTTGAGCTCATCTAATGTGCTCACCTGCTCTCAATGATTGTAGTCCATCAGTCCCTGCCCGCACTGATTGTTTTCCAGTGACTTCAAACAGTTGTTTTATGTATTTTTGTCCATCATTTATATTTATTTCTGGTGAGAGAATACTCTAGTATGATTTACACTATCATGGCTGGAAACAAAAGTTCCTCCACTCCATTACTTTTTTTTTCTTGACTATGTTGTCATGTCGTCAAGTCGATTCCAACTCATAATGCTATAGGACAGTGTAGAACTGCCCACATAGGGTTTCTCAGGCCGTAGTCTTTATGGGAGCAGATTGCCAGGTCTTTTCTCTTGTGGAATGCCTGGTGAGTTCAAACTGCCAGCCTTCGGTTAGGAGCCAGGCAGTTAACCATTGCACCACCAGGGCTCCTTTCTTCACTATAACAGTAGATTTTCATTGTAAAACATTTAGAACGTGCAGAAAACTATACTGTCAAAAATTAAAATTACCCATAACTCTGCTGTCTGGAGACTGAATTTCTGCTAATCACATGAATCTTATTAATTTAAAATCTAGTATTGTTTAAAAAAAAAATTTATCTGTACCTGTAATTTAAAATGCCCAGTAGCTCTGGAAGTCTGTTACCAAAAACAGCAGTCCCTGACCTCACTTCCCACCCTCTGACCTGCCCTCAGAGTCAACTACTTGCAGCTCTTTTAACTACTCATTTGCTTATTTATTAACATAGTTCTGAATGAAATGCCTGTACCACTACTCCCTGATACTTTCAAGCATTATCTGTGCATCCCAGAGGCAGCCACCTCACATCTGTCAGTGGAGGCTTCCAGACTAAGATGGACTGGGAAGAAAAGCCTGGTGGTCTACTTCTGAAAATCAGCCAATGAAATCCCTGTGGATCTCAATGGCACAAGCCACATCACTGCCGTGGCTTCAGACCTGGCAGCGACTCATTCTGTTGTGCACGGTGTTGCCATGAGTCGGAGGCCAACTCAGTGGCCGCTGACAACAACAGTGACTTTATGCTTTGAAAAATAAGGATGTAGCTGCCTCTTACCCGTCTATTCTTCCCCCTGTATCATTTTATACATGTACACTTCCCGTCCCCACATCTTCCAAATACAGTTATAATTTTGGTTAAATCAGTATTCAGTGTTAGTGTTATTATGACCATGTATATGCTAATCAAAGCTAAGCTATACTGTATATTTTGTTTTTCCTTTAGTTAATAATGGTTTATTTTTTATTACTTTGTTTTCTGTGGAGCCCTGGTGGTGCAATGGTTAAGAGCTGTGGCTGCTAACCAAAAGGTCGGCAGTTCAAATCCACTAGTGGCTTCTTGGAAACCCTATGGGGCAGTTCTCCTCCGTCCTGTAGGGTTGCTATGAGTTAGAATCGACTCGATGGCAACAGGTTTTTCTTTATTTCTAGTTTGTTTCCAAACTCTCTCCCCTAGATATGTTAGTCTTTTCTCAGACCATCCAGATACATTAGCTATTCTATCAGTACAATCTTCCTAGAGGCATTCCTTTGGATTCCCTTCTGACCTGCTCCGAATCAGACAGGTTTTTCTCTTGGCCTGCTATAAAGATGTCATCCTTGCCTTTCCCTTAACCTCTTCTGACGTTAGATCTCTTGTTGCCTGGAGTCCATGGTTTCCTTTTTCTTGATGTGTCCCTGTATTTGCTCGCATCCATTGGATGTAACCATGTGTGGTGAAATTGCTGTTGTCCTACAGTATCCAATTTTCCCTTCTTCCTCTTAGTAATAGACTCTCCCCGCTGCCATGGGGTTTGGTTGGGCATATGGCTGCTTAGCCACACACTGCGTTTTTTGCTTCCTTTGCAGCTGGATATGGCTGTGTGTATAAGTTAAATATAAAAAAATAACCATTAGGCACTGTGTAGTTACCCTCTTTTTGAAGTGCCTGTAGGGTTGCTATGAGTCGGAATTGACTCAACGGCAACGGGTATTCAAGTTTCTTGCCCATTTTTCCACTGCGTTTTTCTTGTGGTTTTAGGAGTTCTTTGTATATTCTGGATAAATACCCTCTGTTAGTTATATATGTTAGAAATGTATTTTGTCTTTCAGTGGCTTTTTACTGAATAGCATTTTTTAAAAGAACAGAAATAGTTAATTTTATTATAGTCCAATTTATTCAGTCTTTTTCTTTATAATTAGCATTTTTTGTATTCCGTTTTAAAATTATAAGTAATCCTGATGATGTACTCTATGTTATCTTCTAGAAACCTTATTGTTTTGCTTTCAAATTTGGAGCTGCAGTTCAACTCGTATAAATTTTTCTATGAGTTATGAAAAAGGAGACATTTCTTTCTTTTTTTTTTTTTTCCTGGTCTGGATATCTAGTTAGCCCTGCTCATTTATTAAAGACCTTTCTTTTCTTAAGAGTTATGAAGCAATTAGTGTTGGAGATATTTCCTGACAGTGAGCTAGACAGTAAAATTCAAGGAATGAACAGGAATGACCTGGGTGTCTTGTAGATAACTGCAATAAGTTGTTATGAGGTAAATCCACTCTCTCCAAGCATTGATTAAAACATGGAGACTTGCAGAGCAATTAAAAGTAAGTAGGAATTACTAGATACAAACAAAAAATCAGTTAATAATTTACAAAGTACTATTTTGATACATGTATATTAATTTTATGAAAGGGAAGAGAAAGTAAACCATGTATTATCCACCCTAGAAACCGTTATGTACAATAGAAATGAAGTTTGACTATGATATACCTCAACTACTTTTTTACTTTTTATTGTGTAACAGAGCTTAATGAGTAATTACTTGTAAGGATGCATTTTTAAAATTGTTTTATTGTAGTAAAAATATGTATAACAAAACATTTGCCAATTCAGCATACTTTACCTGTACAGTTTGGTGACATTGGTTATGTTCCTCGTGTTGCACAACCATGACCGCTGACTGTTTCCAGATTATTCCACCACCATTAACAGAAACTGAGTGTCCCCTTCCTCTCCCTCCTCTTGCCAATAGTAAGCTTTGGTCTCTATGCATTTGCCCATTTCATGTAAGTGGGATCATATAATATTTATTCTTTTGTGACTGATGTATTTCAATCAGCATGTTTTGAAGATTTATCCATGTTGTACCAGGTATCAGGACTTCGTTTCTCTTTATGACTGATACTTCGTTTTATGTGTAGACCGCGTTTTGTTTATCCGTTCATCTGTCATAGGACATTAGGTTGTTTCCACCTTTTGGCTTTTGTGAACTGTGCTGCAGTGAACGTTGATGCACATGTTTCTGTTTGTGTTCCTGCTTTCAGTTCTTTCGGGTGTATACCTAAGATTGGGATTGTTGGGTCATGTGGTAGTTCTGTGTTTAACTTTTTGAGAAGCCACCAAACTGTTCCCCACAGTGGCTGTGCCATTTGCATTCCCTCCAGCAGTGGACAAGTTTCCAGTTTCTCCATATCCTCGCTAACATGTGTTATTTTCCATTTTCCATTTTTTGTTTAATCATAGCCATTCTAGTGGGGGTAGTTTTGATTTGCATCTCCCTAATGAGTAAGGTTGCTCACTTTGGCAGCACGTATACTAAAATTGGAACAATACAGAGAAGATTAGCATGGCCCCTGCTCGAGGATGACACACAAATTTAGGAAGCATTCATTTTTTGTCTGCCCCAGTGGCCTAATGGATAAGGCACTGGCCTCCTAAGCCAGGGATCGTGGATTTGAGTTCCATGTGGAGTAATGTGGCTGTGATCATCTTTAGATGTACAGCAAAGTTTTGGCGGAGCCCTGATGGCATAGTGGTTAAGAACTTGGCTGTTAACCAAAAGGTCAGCAGTTCGAATCCATCAGCCGATCCTTGGAAATCCTATGGGATTGTTCTACTGTGTCCTATAAGGTCACTATGAGTTGGAATTGACTCAATGGCAGCGAGTATGGGTTTTTCTGTTTATTTGTTTTTAATGACTAATGCAAAGGTCCTGGGTAGCACAGTCGGTTAAGTGCTAGGCTACTAAAAAAAAGGTTGGCAGTTTGAAACCACCTAGAGGTGCCTCAGAAGAAAGCCCTGGCAGTCTACTTCCAAAAGATCACAGTCACTGAAAAGCTTATGGAGCACAGCTCTACTCTGACGCACGTGGGATCACCACAAGTCAGAATCGACTCAGTGACAACTGGTTTGGTTTTTTGGTTTAATGACGTCGAGTATTTTTTCATGTGCTTGTTGGCTGTTTCTGTATCCTCTTTGGTGAAATGTCTATTCGATTCCTTTACCTATTTTTTTAATTGAGATGCTTGTCTTTTATTGTTCAGCTGTAGTGTTCTTTATATATTTTGGATATTAAGCCCTTATCCAATATATGATTCCCAAAATTTTTCTCCCAATCTATAGGTTGTCTCTTCAGGATGTAATTTTTGAAGTTTGCTGTAAATGCGATCATAGGTAAAATTCAAGTCATTTTGAGAACCTAGCGTAATTTTTCATATTGTATTTTTACAGAGATTTCTCCTGAAGGGGAAAAGCACAAACCCGTAATCGAAGGAGAAGAAAAAGTACAATGTGTTTCCCTTGAGATAAACCCGACAGCTACGGTTGATTCTCCTCCTGTTGAGATAAAAAGTCCACAGTTTAGGGAGGCGTCTCCACAGATGTCATTGACACCAGAAGGAAATTTGGATGGTATGTTTTAATGGGTCAAAATGAGCTGTATTTGTGTTAAAATGCTTAAATACCTTCCTTATAATCAGGCCTCTATAAACAGATCATGAAAATTATGTATATGTTTGAGTGATCCACCTCGAATCTTCACGCTTTTAGTAACTGCTCTTGCTTTCTATTGCTGCATGAAAAATCACCGCCAAAACTTAGTGTTAAAGCAACAACCAATTCCTGTGTGTCAGGAATTGAGTCAAGGCATAGCTAATACGGTCTTTGTAATCATGTGCTTTTGTCTGGGGTCACTTGGTGATATTCATCTGGCAGCTAGGCTAGTCTGAGGAATCCAAGATGGCTTTGCTCCCATGCTTGGCATCTTGGAAGGCCTCAGGTGGGCCTGCTCAGCTGGGTCCCCGTCCTTCATTTTAGCCCCAGGGCCTTGCCCCGTGGTCTTCCCAGGATAGTTAAACTTCTTGCATGGTGGCTCAGGCTTCCAGCTACAAGGTGGAAGTTTCCAGTCCTCTAAAACTAGGCTTGGAGCTGGCCTAGATCCTTCCAGCACACCGCGTTGGCCAGTCAGTGTCAGCGTCATTCAAGGGGAACAGAGCCCACCTCTAGGTGAGAGGACTGTCGGAGACCTCCTCACAGTGCAGCCATCTCTGGTTCACACAGTCACTTGGTCTTATTCACTAAAATCATGGTTATAGGAATCTTAATAGCATAATCACTAGCTACTTCATACCCTTTCTCAAAAAAAAGAAAACAAGTTAGGCATTTAAAGGATGCTCTATAGCCTAATGCAGGGGTCAGCAGACTTTTTCTATAAAGGACCAGCTTTAGGAGCCCTGGTGGTGCAGTGGTTAAAGCACTCGGCTGCTAAATAAAAGGTCAGTGGTCCGAACCCAGCAGCTGCACTGCTGGAGAAAGATGTGGCAGTCTGCTTCCATCAAGATTTATAGGCTTGGAAACCCTATGGAGCAGTTCTTCCCTCTCCTACAGGGTTGCTATGAGTCCGAATCTACTTGACAGCAGTGGGTTTGGTTTCTTTGGTTTGGTCCAAGTTATAAGGAGCCCTGGTGGTAAGTGGTTAAAGCGCTTGGCTGCTAACTGAAAGGTCAGTGATTCGAACCCACCAGCCGCTCTTCGGCAGAAAGATGTGGCAGTTTGCTTCCGTGAAGATTAACAGCCTTGGAAACCCTATGGGGCAGTTCTGCTCTGTCCTACAGGGTCACTATGAGTCAGAATAGACTCGATGGCAGTGGGTTGGGTTGGGTTGGATTTGGTTTGGTTTGGTAGCAAATATTTCAGGTTTTGTGGACCATATAGTCATATATCTAGTTTGTCAAATGAGAAGAAGTCAGATTCTGTGGTTAAGTACTGGAGGACAGAGTTGTTCATAAAATAAAGTGAAAAAGGATTTGCTCCCAGAGTGCTTACCTTGTATGAGTGACCCTCCCAAAAACAATTAAATAAGGGATAAAACCTTTAAGGATTGATATAATATTATCTTTCTAAGTAGAGCAAGTATTTGGAAAATGAGAAAGAGAGACTTCCTGGATTTCAGAAAAAAGAGGGGTTGGGGTGGTGGAGACTTGAACAAAATGATATTGATAATATTAATTGGATAGGAAAAGAGAAGCTAACAATTTGAAGAAAGAAAAATGCTTTTCATCACTATTTGCTTTACTTTAAAAAAAATATCAGCCCGGTAAAAAATGAGCTTCTGCCAGAAAACAGAGATAGTACCCTGGTTATTAATTATTTGAGGGCCTAAGAAAATAGGTTTAGTGTACCTCAGTTGTGTTTTCAAAATAAGTCCAGGTAATATTCTTTTGTTTGTTTTCTTTTATGGTTGCTGAAAGATAGATTTGAATGATCCTTTTAGTTACCATTCAGTGATATCACAGTCTGTTCTCCCATACTTCTATCCACATAACATTTTTATCCTTTCAGCTGGTTTTTGTATCTTCTTTAAATCAATTTATATTTTACTGAAGTTTTAGTGAAAAGAAAAATTTATATATTAATAAAAAATAGTGTATGCAGTATTTCTTTTGAGCATTTTTATTGTAGTGAAAATGCGAAAGGAAGATTCTGTTATTTCAGAAAACAGTTGAATTGGAGAGTTTAACACAATAACAGGATAAAAAGCCTACAGATAAAATATTTAACTTTTCTGTCATAATTAATATGTAAGCCTAAAACTAGGTAGTTATAATTTATAGAAAGCTTATTCAGTTTTCTCTACACTAATTTTGCTTTCAGACATGTTTCTTGTGCTGTTTTTGCTTTGTAGAACCTGATGATTTGGAAACAGAAGTTCTCCAAGAGCTAACTGGAATAGACAAAGATGGTAGCTTGCCGTGTGCTGTTACTGACGTGTGGGGGGAGGAAGAGGAAACAGAGGAAACTGAGTATGTTACCTGTTTTTCACCACTTTCAAAACTAAGGTCCCTTTTTGTAATAACGTTTACAAAATAATGTAAGACCCTAATAGTGCAATATTATAATACTGTAATAGCTTATAAAATAAGCTAATTTAATGTTTTTAGAAGGTGTTATATTCACATGGTTTAGAAATCAACAAATATATAAAGATATGAAGTAAGAAGTCTCTGTCCTTGAGACTGGACGGACCCCAGAAAGCATGGCCCCCGGACTCTCTGTTGAGCGAGAACTGAAACAATTCCCGAGGCCAGCTCTTCAGACAAAGATTAGACTGGACTGTGGGACATTAAATGATACTTGTGAAGAGTGTGATTCTTAGCTCAAGTAGATATATGAGACTAAATGGGCAGCTCCTGTCCAGAGGTGAGATGAGAAGGCAGAGAGGGTCAGGAACTGGTTGAATGGGCACGGGAAATCAGGGGTGGAAAGGAGGAGTGTGCTGTCACAGTATAGGGGGAGCAGTTAGGGTCACATAACGGTATGTGTATAAATTTTTTGTGAGAGACTAACTTGAATTGTAAACTTAAACTACAACAATTTAAAAGAAAAAGTCTCTGTCCTGCCCGTTTCCACTCTCTCCTCATTCCACTCATTCACAGTGCCTTGACCAATATTGATACATAAAAATGTGTATGTTTTAATATATACATCAGCTAACACGAATAGTCACCCTCCCTTTTTAAATACAGTTGTTAGTATAATGCACCCAGTATTCTCCATCTTGTTTATTTTTACTCATACAATAATAATTCTAGGAAATCATTTCATATTGATGCATATGTATTACGGCTACATGATATTTCCATTGTATGAACATACTGTGACTATTTGATGGACATTTTATTGGTATTATAATGATGCTGCAATAAATAACCTTTCACATAAGGTAGTTTTGCAGATATATAAGTATATCTATAGGATAGAGACATAGAAGTGGAATTACTGGGTCAGTTGCATTTCCCCATAGCCTTGCCAAACTTTTGTTAGCAAACTTCCAATCTGATAAGTGAAGTTGAGCACATTTTCTCAAATGCCTGTGTCATTTGTATTTACTTTCCCGTGAATTTTCTGTTCATGTCTTTCACCCATTTTTTTTTTTAATTTAGTTTTGGTCTTTTATAAAATAACTCTTTAAATATCACAGGTATTTGCCCTGATTGTTACATGAAATTGTTACATGAATTTACAATTTATTAAATTTACTCCTCCCTCCCCCCCCCCAAAACAAAATCTATTGGCATTTTACTGGGATGTTAAATTCGTACATTCCCATAAGGAACATCAGCATGCCATATTTTTCCTGTCCAAGAACATGCTGTCTCTGATCGCGTTTTAGAGTTTTATAGTGTCTTTCATCTTGGTTTTGTACTTTAATAGTTGGCTTGTTCCTAGATGGTACCTATTTTTCTGTGAGATCTTATAACTGGGCTTCGTGTGTGTGTGAAAGCTGTGCATTTTTTTGCATTGCTTTTGGAAACCCTACGGGGCAGTTCTACTCTGTCCTGTAGGGTCGCTATGAGTCGGGAATTGACTTGACGGCAACAGGTCGGGTCGGGTTGTACCCCATTACCTGTTGATATCTGTTACTATTAGCAGTAGATTTTCAATTGACTCTCTTGTGTTTTACAGGGGTACAGCAATATCATATGAAAATAGCAACAGTTTTATGTTTTTCCCATTTTTTTTAACATTAGTTTTTTCTCTCCAGTTGCATGAGTTAGTGCCTTGCTTCTTTCCAATGTTAAATATTGGTCATAGTGGGCATCTTTGTTTTGTTCTTGACTTTAGTGAAGAAGATTCTATTGTTAACCGTCGATAAGCATGACCCTGCTTTTTAGCTGAGATAGTTATCTATGCATGTTTTACTGCTTTTAAAAAACAAAAGTAGTTTTTGTCAAATGACTTTTTAGCCTCTATGGAACTGCTCATATAAATATTTTCCCTTATCTAATAGTATAATGAATTGTGTTACTAGGTTATGTAATATTGCACTAGCCCGCATTCCTTCATAACCTACTTGGTTATGATATGTTATCAGTTTAATGTACTAATGTTTGTTGATACTTTATTTAGGATTTTTGTGTTAATACTTGTGAGATTCATCTGTAGTTCCTTTTGCTGTGGAAATCATTGTTGGATTTTGGTATTCTTGTTATACACTCTCTTCACAAAAAGTAGCTGGAAGTTTCTTCCTTTGTGATGCTCTGTAGCCGGGATCAGCAGACATTTTCTGTAAAGGGCCAGCTAGTAAATATTTTCAAGTGCGCAGACCATACATTCTGTGTCACAACTCTTCAACTCTGCCATTGTGCTGCCAAGCAGCCATGGATAATACATAAACAAATGAGCGTGCCTGTTCCAGTAAGACTTTATTTACAGAAACAGGAGGTGAGCTGGACTGGACTTGTGGGCCATAGTTTACTGATGTCTGAGTTAGAACTGTTGAAAGATCATTGGCATTACCTGATCTTTAAAAATTTAGTAGACTGAATTTCTCTGGAACCAGTGGGGTCTGGTGATTTTTTTGTTTTGAGGGTGAGGTGGTTGTTCATTGATAACCTTCTCTATTTAAAGAAAAAGGGTCTGTTTAGGTATCCTAATTCTTCTGAAATCAGTTTTGTTAAATAATATTTTCCTAAAAAATAGATAACTTCATCTAAGTTTTCAAATTTGCCTAAAATTAAGCAAAATATTTGTTTCCCTCATTTCTATTATTTCCCTTGAAACATTGTTTATTATGTTTTCTCCCATTATTTATTTTCTTGACTAGGCCGACTGGTAGTTTATTTATTTTTCAAGGAATTGATTTTGGTTTTCAATTTTCTTAGTTTAGTGTTCCTCTGCTTTTTAACTCTTTAAATTTCTCTTACATCTTTCTTTCTTCTGCGTTTCTTCAATTTATTTAGTTTTTCTCCTACATGTTGGTTAGATGCTTCTTTGTTTTTATTCTTTAGAATTTATGCTTTAGGTCTCACATTTTTCTGTGAGCAATTCCTTGGCTGTGTCCCATAAATTCTCGTATGTATTGTTTTAATTGTTATTTTCTAATGATTCTGATTTCTATTTCTGTTTCTTTTAACCCAGTACTTCTTTAACAGAAAAATACTAAGTTTTCCACGCATAACCAAAACCAAACCCATTGCCATTGAGATGACTGAGACTCAGAGTGACCCTATAGGACAGAGTAAAACTGCACCATAGGGTTTCCAAGGAGAAGTTGGCAGGCTTGAACTGCTGACCTTTTGGTTAGCAGCCATAGCTCTTAACCACCGCAGCACCAGGGTTCCAAACCAAGTACAGGTTGGATATACATCTGTTGTACCAGGGAGTGCTCTCACATTCAGGAAAATGTGTTCTTGCTGACTCTTTTTGAGATCCATCACTGCTCGTCCTTCTCGCCAGAGCTTTGTGCCTCTGCTTTCTTGCGCACAAGTCCTGGTTGATCTCACCTATCCTTTGGAGTCTGGAGAGTATACATCTGGTCTCCTAAATTTGCCAAAATTCGTGTTTGGTTTTTTTTTTTTTTTGCTCCCCTGGTCTTCCCAATCCCCAACTCTTTGTTGTTTTTGAATGATTTTCAGGACACAAAGGCAAGATGCTGATTTATGCAACAAAATTCTTACCAGAAATCCTGTAATATCTCTTAAAACCATTGCCTACGTGTTTATTAACCTCCCCTATGTTCCTTGAAGACAGACTATGTCTTCTATTTTTTTTTTAACTTTTTTATTTATTATGAAAGTAATATAAAACCAGAATTTGATCCATGTGTGTTTGGAAAATTAATAAATGATAAGGGTGGCATTTCTAATCAGTTGGAAAAAGTAGTTTATACAGTACACACCACTGAAAAAAATCAGTAACAATTTGGGGAAAAAAAAAAAAAGGTCCAATTCTGACACCATTCAACCAAACAATCCCTGATGGATTAAAGACCTAAATGTTAAAAAAAAAAAAAAAAAAGAGGAAGGGGTTGTAATAGTTACACCTCAGCCCTTGGCAACCACGAATCTGCTTTCTCTCTCTGTGGATTTACCTGTTTTGGACATTTCGTATGAATGGTATCGTACAGGGCGTGGCCTTTTGATAGCTGGCTTCTTTGACTTGGCATGAGGTTTTCGAGGTTCATCTTTCCTTTTTATGGATGAGTAGTATTCCCTTGTGTGGACATGCCAAAGTTTGTTTATTCATTAGTTGGCTATTGTGAATAGTGCTGTTATGAACATTTGTGTAGACTCTTTTCTTTGAAAAGCTGTTTTCAATACTTTGGGCTTTATACATCGGAGTGGAATTGCTGGGTCATATGGTAATCTTATGTTTACTTTTTGAGGGACCAAGGAACATTACATTTTGAATGAAGTAATGTATTGTGTAATTAAAAATTAATAAAAACTTAAAAGTATAAAATTGTTCAAAATTTGAAACGGATTGAAAAAAGAGAATTTGAAATGATTGAAAAGTATTAAGAAAATAAAGACTACCTAAAAGCCAACAACACCCCCGCCCAGAGATCAATTACTGGTGCCTTTTGGAGTATATTCTTCCCATCTTCAGAATTCTTATTAAAACGCATAATACATAAATTTCAAAGTGTACTGAGTAAAAAGTGTGAGTTCGTCTTTACTCTTTGTCCTCAATCTTAATTCCCTCCATGTCGGGTTTAACATTTTTGTGCATATCGTTCCATTTCTTTTTCTCTGCTACACATCATTTTTTTGTAAAACAAACACCGTATAATACAAATTGTTCTGCAAATTACTTTGTTTACTTCGTAGTATATCTTGGCTGTTGTTTGACATCAGATTCATATAGATTTCTGCTTCATTCTTTTCAACATTTAACGCATGATTTTCTGTAGTGTTAGTATATCATAATTGTTTTGTGTTTTCCACTATTCAGTTCTCATAAAGCAGTGGTTCTCAAACATTAGCATGCATCAGAATCACTTTAGAGTTTATTAAAACACAAATTTTCTGGGCGTTACCTCCTAGAGTTTCTGATTCGTAGATTCTGAATGGGTTCTGAGAATTCGTGTCTCTAACATGTTTCCATGTATTGCTACTGTCGGGGAACCACACTTTGAGAACCACTATTATAAGGCATGGCTTTTGTGAACGATTAATGATTGATGAGGGTTTGAACAGGTTTGAAAATACAGTGTGCTTGTGAGAGAAAGTATGTAGACAAGTGAGAAACATATTTGGAAGAGGGATCACAGGATGCTAGTGAACTTGTATTCCATTTTCTATATTTTAGAGTGTTTTTATTTCCAGTAAACTTGGTCGTTTTTTTTTTTTTACTGGTGTACTCATTTTTGGCAGGTCAGAAGATAGGATCATCGTTCAGCAAAATGAAGTTTCTGGAGATGAAATCCTGAGGAATGTGGACCAACTTAGTGAAGTTCATATAGGTAAACATCATTGCATAACTCTAATTACTTTCTAGTACCAACCTGTTTTATTTGTGCAACATCTAAATAGTGAGAATTCCTTATCAGTCACCTCAGTTATGTAGAAAATGTAATAGGTGGAGAGCACTGGATGCATTGCTAATAAGCCTGGATTGTATGGCAACATTGACAATAAAATTTTGGGGGGCCGTTATTTCACTGAATATTCAAGTTAAACATAACCGATTGCCAAAACTCAGCCAGCGTACTTAAGACATTAAATAAGTTGCCATCTTGTTTTTAATAGTATTAGTTAAAATGTAAGAAATGTCCATTTTTTTCCCCAACTACTGTTGTTGTTAGTTGCCATCATGTTGATTGCAATTTATGGTGACCCCATGTGTACAGAGTGGAACTGCTCCTTAGGGTTTTCATGGCTGTGACCTTTCTGAAGCAGATCACCAGGCCTGTCTTCTGAGGTGCCTCTTGAGTGGGTTCGAACCACCAGTCTTTCAGCTAGTAGTCGAGCGCTTAACCATTTTTGCCACCAAGGGATAAACTGGAACTAATTATGAGTGTCTAAACGGTGTATTTTTTCACATTTTGTTGGGTTTTTGTCTACATTTTAAAACTTCCAATATAATAAAAGTATGTAACAGATTAAATCTACTTTCTGAAGATAGAATAGTATATCCTGTTAATGATTATTTTATAAACTAATAGAATCACGCGTTTTAATTTTCTTGATAGATTGTTTACTTGCTAGGAGTCATGTTAAGTGTATGCATTATGCCATCACTTAGAAGTATAATGTAATACAGACGTTTACATAATGTCTTCTTTCCACCGCAGAGCCTGAAGTGGGTGGTTCATCGCGCTCTAAATGTGACGTGGATCAATCTCTGCAACCAGAACCGTTTTTCCATAAAGTCGTTCAGTCTGAAGACTTTAGAATAGCCTCTCAAGTTCAATCAGTTCAGTGTTCACCAGAAGAATCCTTTCCACTTCGATCTCGCTCTGATTCTCCACCAAAAACCAAAAGCAAGAATTCATTGTTGATTGGTCTTTCAACTGGTCTATTTGATGCCAACAACCCAAAGGCAAGTTACTCAAATGGAAAATGTTATCTGTTTCATAGTATTTTTTATTGATTGTTTTTCATTGTAAAACCACAGTATTCGTTTTAATTCCTTAAAAATACAAACACAAACACACATACATCAGAATAAACAAAAATCCTCCATCTTCTTTTCTGAGATGCTGAGAGTACAACTAGGACAAAGACGATTTCATTGGCTCCATCTTAGGATTCTTGTTACAGAGTCTGCTTCTACTTGCATAAAAGATCTTTCCTGAACTACTCTCTCCCTTTACCACTACCCTACCCGACTTCTACTTTTAATATGAGAGTAAGCTGAAGCAATACATCTTAAATGGTTAGAAGTGTCACATTGCCTGGTTTGTATGTAAAAAGATTAATAAATGTTTATATGCACTTTCTGGTTTTCAGACCTCTTAATTTTTCTCACTTGTTTTAAAAAATATGTAACCAGTTTTTTCTTATTATAAAATTAGAGCATTATTCTCTACAGAAAATTTTAAAATCCAAGTAAAACTAACAGATCATATCATTTTGTTGCATTACTTTTCATATATGTACATTTAAGTAACTTTTTACCAAAACAGGATATTATGCAAACTCCTTTGGTAACCTGCTTTTCTATTTAATACATCTTATAGTATTATAAGCATTTTGTCATATTGTTAAATATTCTCTCACATAAGTTTTAATGTCTATACATTTCATTGTGCTGCTATATCATAATTCTTTTTAACTAATCCTTTTCTATTTTTGGGCCTTTAGGTTTCAATTTTTATTATTGTAACCACCTACCCACAGCTCTGGAGCCATGGTGGTGCAGTGGTTAAGCATTCGGCTGCTAACCAAAAAGGTCAGCAGTTCAAATCTACCAGCCAGTACTTGGAAACCCTATGGGACAGTTCTACTCTGTCCTGTAGGGTCACTATGAGTCAGAATCAACTCAAAGGCAATGGGGTTTTTTTGGTTACCCACAGCTCTCTTTGTGCGTATCCCCAATTATTTCCATAAGATGAATTTCTATAGGGAGAATTCAAAAAGTTATATTGAATATTGCCTAATTTCTCTCCAACAAACTAGTATGTGGGAATACATCCATTTCTCCATACCCTAACTAGCACTATTATTATTTTAAAATTGTCTATTTAGTGAATGAGTAATGGTAGTATTAATTTTTTTAAATATGTATTTGTTTACCAGTGAGATTGAACATTTCTTCATATATTTGAGCTGTATATATGAGTGAATTTCCTAAATTCTTTTGTCCTTGACTCTTTTTAAAATATGTCATTTTGATTTTCAGTTTAATTCAATTTTCTAATTGAGTATGCTTTTTACTTTATGGTATATTTTCTTATCTTTTTCTTAAATGTTGAAATTGTTAAAAGTTCTTCACTTATCTAGTAACAGTCAGATTTTTGAAGATGCAAACTACCAAGAGAAATTTATGATCTTGGGAGTTAGATAAAAAGGCCTGTTGGTGGGACAGACAGGACTATCATATCATTCATTTACTTTCTTTTGTAGGAAAGGGGTATAGCTGTCTTTAGCCCAGAGCTTTTTAATAACTAAGTGCTGTACATAAAATTAATATAAGTAGCAGTGCAGGTTTCATGTAAAAGACTGTGAGGGAAGAAGCCAAAAAACAAAATAAAAAATTGCACAAGAAAATCACAGCAACCTGTAACCCTTTAAGGCAAGAACAGAAACCCATCCCTGCCTATGCCATAATTCTCTGAGATCATTAATCACTGGGCCAGAATAGTAAATAATTGGTTCCTTTCTTAATGATGGTTGTGAATCATGAAGAAATAGTAAAAATTATTTATAAATATTTCTAAAATCTGTGTACTAAGACAGAATAATTTAACCTCTTACAAATTTTTTTATTAAAAGTTCTTTAAAAACTTTTATATTGCTTGTGTCTTTTTTTCTATTAAAGAACATTCTTCTTTTTGTGCCCTGGATCCCAACTCTTCTCACCTTCTCAAAGAATTCACTCCTTTACTTGCGTCACTCTAATCCGTATCGCCAACTTCTTCCTCCGTAGTGGATCATTTTCTCAGCACACGTATTCTAGTAAACCCCACTGTAAACAGCAAACTTCCATTGAGCACGCGCCCTTCCCTATTCTACCACCCATTTCTCTGCTCCCTTTCCCAACCAGACATCTTCAGTACATTGTATCTTTGCAGCCTCCATTTCCATTCACTTCCCAGTGCATTCCAGTATGGCCTTCATTTTACTCCACTAAAACTGCCCTCGTCAACATCATCAATTCTCTGTACCCTTTCTCTCTCACCTGACTTGCTGTTTTCATCTTCTTTAAACCTTTCTCTTTAACTCATTTTATCTGTTGGTTTCCTTCATATCATACTCTCCTAGTTTTTCTCTGAACTCATCAGTAACTCCTTAGTCTCCTTGGCTGCTGGGTTCTACTCCAGCAGATATTTTTAAAACGATGTGTATTCTTCTGTTGTTTAGTAAAGTGTTCTGTAAATGTCAGTTAAGTCAAACTGGTTGATAGTGTTCAAGTATTCCATATCTTGACTGATTTTTTTTTTTTTTTTTTGGTGTACTTGTACTTGTCAATTACTGAGAAGGATTGAAATTTTTAGATTCGCTTGTGGAGTTGTCTGTTTCTCCTTTTAATTCTGTCTGGTTTTGTTTCATGTATTTTGGAGCTCTGTTGTTGGGTGAATACAAATATAGGATTGTTACGTCTGCTAGATGAATTATCCCTTTATTGTAATGAAGAGTCCCTCTTTGTTTGATAGTGTTCAAAACCAAACTAAACCCATTGCCATCGAGTCGATTCCAACTCATAGCGACCCTATAGAGCAGAGTAGAACTGCCCCATAGGGTTTCCAAGACTGTAATCTTTATGGAGCGGCTAGTGGGTTCAACCTGCCGACCTTTCAGTTAGCAGCCAAGCACTAAACCACTTGTTTATCAATTACCGAGAAAGGGGTGTCAAAATTTCCAACTATAATTGTAAATTTATCTACTTTTACTTTCAGTCAGCTTTGTTTTATGTATTTTAAAGCTCTTTTACTGGATACATATAAATTAAGATTTGTTACATCTTCTTGTTGAATTGACCTCTTTATCATTATGAAATGACCTTCTTTATTGCTGTTTGAAATCTACTTTGTCTGATTTTAAGATAGCCATTCTCGCTTTCTTATGCTTAGTGTTTGTGTGGTGTATGTATATATATTTTTACATCCTTTTACTTTTATCAAAACTATGACTTTATAGTTAAAGTAGATTTCTTGTAATTAGCATGTAGTTAGATGTTGCTTTTTAAAACTAGTCTGACAACCTCTGCCTTTTAATTGAAATGATTAGACCCTTACATTTAATGTAATTATTGGTATGATTGGGTTTAAACCTACACTTTTGCCATTTGTTTTCTATTGTTTCATCACTTTTTCCTTTTTTTTTTTTTAAAAAAAAACTTTTATTCTTCCTTCTTTTGGATTGAGTATTTTCTAGCAGTGTGTTTTATTTCTATTTGCTTGTAAGCTATACCTCTTTTTAAAAATATTCAGTGGTCATTCTCAGTTTTCAAGAAACATCTTTAGCTTCTCACAGTCTCTCCTCAAGTAATATTATGCTACTTCACATATAACATAAGAACCTTATAACCATATACTTTCATTTCCATCCTTCTGCCTGTTGTTTATGGTATTGTTGTCATATATTTTATTTTCACCTGTTATAAATTATACAATACATTTTTATTGGTTTTTGCTTTAAACCTTCAGTTATCTTTTACCGAAATGAGAAATTGAGAAGGTCTTTTATTTTTATGTGTTACTGTGTCTGACGGTCTCCATTCTTTTGTGTAGAATTCAAGTTTCCATCTGGTATTATTTTCCCTCCACTGTAAGAACTTCCTTTAACACTTCTTGTAATGCAGTCCTGCTGGTGATTAATTTTTTCAACTTTAGTTTGTATGAAAATGTTTTTATTGCACCTTCATTTTAAAAGGGTATTTTTTTTTTAAAGAGAGCGAGTGTGTGATGTATCTTTTTTTATTCTCAGAGTGTCCTGCCCATATCAACTGTTCAGAAATATTTTTCTACAGTCATGTATTAATAACTATGACTGTTAGCGTGTAATGTCACCTACTGCTACACAATCGTTACTTGCATCTATTGCAAAGGGTTACTGAGAAGATTAAGATCATTATTTCATATAGTGCACTTAGCACAGGTCCTGGTAAATGGTAAGCACTCGATAATGTTGTTATTATTACAATTATCATGATAATAATTAAAATTATATCATCACTATTATGTCACCATTAAATATAGAACTATGATATGTTCCAACAACCATGAAACAGGGCAAGATCACTGGGGAATAAGGATTCAGTCTCATATGTATGGTTAAAAAAGTGTACTCAGATAACCCATAGATGGATGCCTTACTCAACACCCACTGCAAGATCAAGGGCATAAGTCTTTGAATTATAGCTATTCTAAAAGGTAAATGAAATAAACCCCAAAACCCATTGCCAATGAGTCGATTCCGACTCATAACGACCCTATAGGACAGAGTAGAAGTGCCCCAGAGGGTTTCCAAGACTGTAAATCTTTACAGAAACAGACTGCCACATCTTTCTCTCGCGGAGCGGTTGGTGCATTTGAACCACTGACCTTTCAGTTAGTGGTTGCGTGCTTAACCACTGCACCACCAAGCCTCCTTAAATGAAATAAACAGCCAGCCACCTTAAATGCATTTCAGAGGACTTCCTAACAGACAAATACCTCCTTGTGATACCTACTGTCTTAGTTACCTAGTGCTGCTACAACAGAAATACCACAAGTGGATGGCTTTAACAAAGAGAAATTTATTTCTTCACAGTAAAGTAGGCTAAAAGTCCAAATTCAGGGTGTCAGCTCCAGGGGAAGGCTTTTTCTGTATGTTGGCCTTCTTCTGTTTGGTGTTCCCCCGGACTAGGAGCTTCTCTGCGCAGGGACCCAAAGGACG